TTGCTTCTGATAAGAATGTCTGGGAAGCTGTGATGAAGAACAAGAAACTTGTGGAGTTTTACAAGACAAGTAAGCGCCCAGCCATCATTTAGTACATCTAATTCAGTTAACCATTAGAAAAGTATAATAAATAACTTGGTTCATCTATCTTCCCGTTCTCAGACCTCAGCGAGTCATCCAGTGTCACTGACGAAGCTGAGCAGAGCGACGCCGAGAGCTCGCAGAGCAGCAATGGTGTCGTCTCGCCGGCAGATGCATTCAGTGATTACATTCAGATGATGAAGGCGTTCGTGTCGGAGATGGTGACGAATCTTTCGAGCATAATGCAGGACCTGGTGGCCACGTCAGACGAGGGCCAGAGCAAGGGGAGGTTGAAGACCCTGATCATCAACTCCAAGAAGGATTTCACAAATGGCCCGTCGTCCTTCGTGCTCCTGGCCATCGCGTCTATTCTGGTCGTTTTGCTCAAGCGTGCATAGTTCTAAATAAAACAAAGGAGCTGGCAGAGTGGTTGTTCTGAGTTTAGTTTCGTTTCAGCTTTTTGAGACAGACAGGATTTGATCTTCTTTTTCTACTTATTAGTTCATCAAATGGTCGATTCTACGCACTGTACAGGTCGACGTTAAGTCTTTTCAAGGGTTTATCTGGTGGCTGTGTGTTCACCTGGGGATGAACATGTTCTGCATGATGTTTAGCTGTTACTGCAACTTTATATGATGGAGTTTAGTTTTCTTTTGGACTGGTTTTAAGTTTAGCTGTTACTGCAACTTTATATGATCTCGTTCTGGTTTAGCCATGTTTCAAGATATTCTGGTTTAGCCACATGTACATATCTGTGCAGTACTTCAGGGTTAGCCCTCCATGCCTGAGTATCTAAATTACTCAATGTGGTAAGGTTTGTACATAACACCTACAAAACAATATTGATAGATTTTTGTAGGTACACACTCATTTTACACATATGCAGCAAATATGGCACACAAGCTGCTAAGCTTGGCAAAGGCGTGTGTACCCTGTCCAAATTGATGCCTCACTCATTTGCCTTTCTATTAACATCACTCTGAGTCATTTGGCTTTCTATTAGCATAATTCTTAGTGGAACACAAGATCTGTATGCGCACATCTAAAGAAAATATCATACGTATTATGCATAAATATTTATGCGGCTCTTGCTCCAGACAGTTGTGTCTCACTTGAGGCTTAAAAGTTTTTCTGTGTAATAATTCATACATAGATACTCGAGTACTGAGCATACGTGTTTGATTAAGTTGTGAGATTCTGAAAAATCTGTTGTGAGCTGTGAGACCGCATTCTGGGCAGTTAATACACTACCATAACATGGGCGCACATGCTCAAATGTTACAAAGTTTCAACTGGTTGTTTCTTCTGAGAAGAAAGGGGAAATTCACGTATACAGGGATCTACCATCCAGAGAAATCTTTGAATTCTACGCTAGGAGCACTCGCTTTTCTCTTCTTGCTTGAATCATCTGCTGCAGCGGCATTTCCAGTGGCATCAGCAGAGCCAGCCGTCCGAGCCTTGAGATACTTGCCAACTCCACCACCAGCGCTCGCTGAAGCAGAAACACCAGTCCCTGGGTTGCTATACCATGACCCCACCTTATCCTGGATTAATGCAAATAAACGTTCAAACAATCAGAGATGTATAAATGCAAAGAAGCACTTGAATCTAATTGAAACAAGATGCAAAGCAGCATTACATGATCTTCATCCTTGTTCTTCTCCTCCTCCTTTGCCTTTTCTTCTTCCTCGTCTGGTTCCGTGTAAGGATTCACAAATACATTAACTTTCAGTAACTTTATTTCCTCCTGTTAACAAAGTTGAAAACCAGGAATACCACGTTCAGATGTTTTTGTCCAGTGAAAAAACAACTATGCTGAACACAACACATCCTGCAGTTGTGCCAAAGTTTAATGGCCAGCATATTGTGGCCACAATATCTTGTTTGCGTAAAACTACGAGGTATTTTCATTTCTAAAGCAAAGTAAAAAAAAATGCAGATGAAACTAGAACAATCATACTAACCAATGGGCGGTCGTCATCATCAACAGGAACCTTTTCCATTGCTGAAAGATTGTGCAGACCACCAACCACCATGCCAAACACTGTATGTTTGAAATTTAAATGTGCTGCAGACTTGTATAGGATGAAAAACTGCGACCCATTGGTATGGGGCCCAGAATTCGCCATGCTGACAACACCTCTTCCTGAATGTAGCAGCTTTGAATTCAATTCATCCTTGAAAGGTTGACCCCATATGGACTCCCCTCCACTTCCTGTGCCAGTTGGATCACCTCCTTGAATCATAAAGTTTCTGTAAAAAGGTGATGATCAAACCGGACAACATTTAGATATATAGCCATAATCAAGGGAGTATAAAGAAGAGAATGATTGAATGGACAGGATTTGGATACGGCTAATAGAATAGGAGAACATACTTGATGCTACGATGGAAGATAAGACCATTGTAGTAACCATTTTCACAATGTGTTAGGAAGTTTTCACATGTCCGAGGAGTAATATCACAATGAAGCTCCAAATTCAAATCACCATGGGTGGTATGCAACTGAACATATCCTTTCTTTTTTGGATTCCTTTCAACTTTAACATACTCAAATTCATTTTTGGTAACGGGATCATAGGAAGTCGACGTGAAAGAACGTGAAGCTGCTCCAGTAGTGTAACGACTTTTAACCTGAAATCACCGAATCACCTCCATAAGACAAACACTAACTGCACAAGTAACAAAAGGGCTATGTAAATATAAGACATGAAGATGAGATGAGACTATACCAATTTAGCATTTATAGGATCCCGATCCCCTGCCCTGTGCATAGCAATTCTAGCAGCAGTTTTCTCAGCAGTGCCAGATTTTGCTGCTGCTGCACTTCTGCCATGAACAGAAGCCGAAGCAGCATCCACAACACTGAATGGTTGAGGAGGTTTAGGTTCTTTGCTCGATTTCGAGTCACTCTTCTCTTCTTTTGCTAAAAGGACAGCCAGTGCGGCAGCTCTTTCCTTTTGAGCTTTCTGTCCTCCACCACCATGCAGAAAAGCTAATTTTCCTTTTTCAGTCCCAAGTTCCTTCATCATTTGCTTAAGATCACCGGCAACATTTATGTTGTAGGTTGGATCATCTTTCATCCGCTGCAACTCTGCAAAGAAGTTGGATAGTCAGACTACATAAGTTGATCTACATCAAAAGGATAGATACAAAGCAGCCAACACAAAATAAGTAAAATGGAAAGAGGATGCATAATTGAACCTTCATCATCAAGTTTGAGGCCTTGTCTAACATGATCAAATTGCCCTAGGACCTTGGTATCAAGCGCATTTGGATTCTAGAGAAGTCAGAAGGCAAACAGTATTAGGCTAGGGTATTAATTGGCAGTAAGACAATGCGTAATATATATTGTCCTTCCAGACAGCTACCTGAATTGTTATCAAGTCCTTTCGTGCGAAGGGCTCATCGGTTAGCAACTCTTTCCAATTCTTTGGCTTAACGTTAAGCTCCTGGATTGCCTATGAACACAAAGCAATAATCAATCAGCTACGAGCATACCAAATTGACCACCTGAAAAACACTATTATATAAGCTAACCAAAGTCTAAAGCCCACCTCATAACAGAAGACGTTCCCGGTAGTCTTTACAGCAACTATATGCGTGAATTCTGTAAAAACTTTATTTAAAACAGGACACTGGAACTCTCCTGCACGAAAAGAGTAAATATTAACACAATGACACCAGAAGATCAACTAACATCAAAGGAATTTACTACTGTTCAAGCAGTTCTATTTGGTTCAGGCTACATCGACTTTTTCATGCCATAGATTCAACCCACCATCTGTGTTCTTGTGGAAAGTGAGAGGAATTAGATCCTCCTGCTTCAGTGCTCCTCCAGTTACCGGATGCTTCCCGAATTTTTTAATATATGGGATTATGCTCCTACATTCAGAAGCAAAAAGATAAGAATCCCTGCCTTCTCAGCTCTCCTACCAATAAGTTATCCAAGAAGCAACTCCTAGGCACTTACATCAAATCGAAGACGCTTCCATCTGCCGTACACACCGGATCCTCAAATGGCAGGAACGTGAGCCTAATATCCAATGAAATGACAATCAGTGGCTGAAGAAGAGGGATTGACTTTACTTACTACTCCCTCCGTTCCAATATAGATGACCCAAATTTGTACTAACTTTAGTACAAAGTTAGTACAAAGTTGAGTCATCTATTTTGGAACGGAGGGAGTAATCAACTGCTAATGTGGCTAAATTCGAATAGTATGAAGGTTCAACATCCAGAGCTGAATTTGAGCATTTGGAGCTTACAAAGGTAACTAACTAGCTTAACTGGTGGCATATATACCAACTGAAATATCCACAGAAAACAAGTTCATGCCCTAAGGAAGAAACCCTATAAGCTCAAGCTCTCCGAAATTCGATTCAGAATCCTAAATTACCAAGAGAACAGAGGTAAGCAGGCAAATCTTCCAGCGAGGCTGGTGCGGGAACAGGGGAAGCGGGGAGGGAGAGTAGGCAATTACGCGCAGCAGTAGAAGGGGAGGCGCTGGAATGGCGCGATGGCCTCCCTGTTCTTGGCGCCACCCCACTCTGTCGCCCACTCCGTGGCCGTTATGAACATCCGGTCCTTGCTATGCTGCTTCTTCCCCATCTCCGACTACCCTATAAGCGCGGGCCTCCGGCCGGTGGTGCGGTTGCCCTGCCGGGCGGTCGGGTTTCGCCGGCGGCGAGGTGGGACGGCGAGATTTGACGACCGCAAGTGTTGGGTCGGGGAAAGAGAAGGGAATAATAGGCGGCTCAGCCCGTGATAGAATACACGGCTCGAGCCGCGCGGGTCGGTGCGAAACAGATTCGGCCCGGCCCGGCCCAACCCAGCGCACAACCGGCCCAAAAGCAGAGCGCAAGTGCGCACAGCGCACCACCGGCCGAGCGAGCTGAGTCGTCGATTCGAGCAGCGGGATGGGCGGCGGCGGCGGCGGCAGCCCGACGGCGAGCAACAGCAGCAGCGACGATGACGGAGACGCCTCGTGGAGGGCGGCCATCGACTCCGTCGCTGTAGGGGGCTTCGGCTACCCGTCGTCCAACGGCGCGGCGAAGGCCGCCTCTGGCGGCGTCGGCGTCGAGGAGGACAGCAACGGGCTGGAGCAGCCGCCGCAGGATGAGGGGAAGGCGCAAACGCCTGGGCTCAAGCTGTACCAGATCAAGGTGTCTTGCTTTCCACGTTCGCCCCTTGCTTTATGCTTGCTAGCTGCATAATATTCTTCTGCTCCTGATTCAGTGCCGCAGCTGCAGCTCATTGGTTGACATGGTCCTCGGTTTTGTTGTGCTGATTCAGTGCTGTCTTCAAAGCTTGATGCATACTTCATTCTTCCTGTGGTCCTTGGACGAACTAGAATTAGCTGGTTCACTCGGATTAGTCTGGGTTTACATAGCAAGTTAGCAATAGCAGCTGCATTTGCTTCAATTGTACTCCCTCCGTTCCTAAATATAAGTCTTTTTAGAGATTCCAATATGGACTACATACGGAGCAAAATGAGTGAATCTACACTCTAAAATACGTCTATATACATCCGTATGTAGTTCCTATTGAAATCTCTAAAAGGACTTACATTTAGAACGAGGAGGGAGTATATTCGAGTGGGATATATCAGTGTTACCAGCGGATGCACATACTTAGCTACATTCTTGCAGAGTAGCTACGGTTGGCAAATTGAGAAAACCCAACATGTTTCACCCCATAGACTGAAGTTGTGGATATAATCAATCATGTTCCACTCCATATAGGATGTGTACTGCACCATTGCCATTTTGGAGGTTTTCTCGCTGGTTTGATAAAATGCCACAACTTACTATGCCGCTACCCAGTAAAAATCAACTTTGTCAGTACCCAGTAAAAACGAACTGGCTTTGCCACTAGGAAATAATGCCCCATCTTGCATTGCAATCTATCCAATTCCCCTTATTGCTTTGACCTTTTGGTAGATGCTCCGTTCCATGTGTTAAATAATTTACGGTGGGCCTCCGGATCATCATATTAGTTTCCGTTGGTACCTGTCCAAGCCACAAAGTAAGTTCATCACTTGCATGATCGTTTTAATATGCAGTAGTTTGCAAATACACCATGTGATTTACATTCTATGTCTACAGAATTCTGTACTGTTTACTTGCATGATCCTTTTCAGAATGTAGTAGTTCATCACTTCACCTGGCAAGCCTGATGAGCAACTAGAAAAAGCTGGCACAATGTTGCCATGTATTCACCATTCAGACCTGCCAGTCTGCAACTATAGTATAACCATTTCACTTAAACAGATTTTTCCTGTTTAAGTTTTTTTTTCTCTGCCCTTCATTCAGTTGTTCTTCTGTGCCTGGCGCAGTGGTGAAGTCCTCCCCACTTGTGCCAAGAGGTCCTGGGTTCGAACCAGCCTCTCTGCATTGCACTTTGCAGGGGTAAGACTAGGTTCCTATAATCCCTCCCCAGACCCCACCTTGTGTGGGAGCTTCTATGCACTGGGTCTGTCCTTTTCCTTCATTCAGTTGTTCTTCTGTTTGTATCATTCTTTCTTTTGGTTAGGCATTAGGAAGTCATACTATGTTATGCATTATGATCTTACAAACTTCATTTGATTTGTTTCAGGTAAGAAATATGTTGGACAATATGTTAGAGAGAAATCTCGAAATAGTGAGGAATCCTTGCTTGAACGTGGCTGACCCCGAGGAAACAGGGGGAGGGATAAAGTTATTTAAAAAGGCACCTCCTGGCATCAGAATGGATGCCGTAGGTATGACGTGAATGTGATTATCTTTAATAATCTTGGTGGATAAATCCTTTCATGATGATAATACATATTCATACTAATGTTTATTTCTAGATAAATACCATGTGCAACTCAAGAGACCAAAGATTCTTCCTGGGCCAGAGGTCGACGAGAAATCAAAGAAGGTTTGATATCTATTTTCACAATAATTATACATATGCATGTGAGCTTATGGTTGTATGTTTTACTGATCGTACTGCGACCCTGATTTCAGTTCAGACATATGCTTCAGTCTGTTGTTGTTGATGGTAACGACGTACTTGTTTCCGCGAAAGAAGCATCCCAAATATCATTGGCTAGAATGGAAGCTAGAGAAACTGCAGCAAAGACCAAAGCCAAGAGGGAGGAAGAAAGGGTGAACCAGCTGAAGAAGGTCAGGGGAGAGAAATGGCTTCCTTCCATTGCTAGTAAAATGAAGGTAAATAAATGCATACTTTAAATCACTCTTCAATGGCTAGTTTGGTGGGTTTGTTGTTGTACAACATCGACCAACATTTTGTATTAACAGATATATGATGCCAGCATGCATTATGTTCATATTGCCTCTGCAGAAAGAAAAATCTTGGGAGCAATGGCAGGAAAAAAAGCTCAGGAGCAACGGCAGTGATGGTGGATCATTTCAGCTGGGCCGCATATGCTAATCTTTTAGGCCATCTATGGGGGGTACCCTTTTCTGGATGCCACAAGCCCACAATTGCTTTGATAACTTCTATTTTGCCATTTATCCATTTGGCAATGATGGTCGACAAGAGGATTGAATTGGATGAAAAGATAGAATGTTGGACTGACGATTTTGTTCTAATCTAGAGAACGTAGCTTATCAGTACCTTCTCATGGAATTTTTGTAGCAAAATTATGTTATATTTCAGGATTGGATATACTTGAGCAGTCTCTGCCTCACAACTGGGACCGAAATCTACGCCACAATTGCATTTTGTGTGGGGG